TTGTGTTTGAACATGACAAGCAAGCGACGTCGGCAAACTGAAAGAAACGCTAGCACCCATACTGCAGGGGTGTTCAAAGACAATTTGCTACTTTATTATGATCTTGCCAACATCTTGAACCTATTGAGGTTTCACAGTATATAATCAATCCATTGCCTGTCATTGTATTAACCATTCATTTAGGCAAGAGGGACAGGTCAGTACGGCTCATTAAAGCACCTGATATAAGCTCGCATGATACAGCTTCGCAAAATTGTCTTTCACTTAAAAGAAGTCTGAAAATATGGTGCTGTAGTCTTAGGAATGAGTATACTGCTATCTTAACAAGTTTTGTATGCAGGCAAGCATTACTTGCGGGTCATCAATATCATAGTCACTGCAACATGTGTGAGATGCTGGGTGCTGAGAAAGGAGGGAAGTATGGCTGTTGGTTTCTTGGATAACACTTAATAGTATTTTTATAATAGGCCTTGTGTGCACTGGCGGCTTATCACTTCCCTGCATTTCGCCCGTCTAGCCATGACCACATTCAGTTGTTATGTCTTTAGCATTGTGCAAGGCCAGCAGGTTTGCAGTGTCATTTCACTACAGGCAGTGTTTTCTTGCTATACATGCGTTATTGCTTGTGCGAACAATATTTCTGAGTGAAGCAGCCCGATGTCTGCAGCATGGTGCATGGCCGTGGAAGCAGAAGACGTGTTCGCATCTTTGTCACCTATGTTTTGTGGATTCCCAAAGCATGCTGAGCAAGTGATATCACTTATTGGTTGTGTGCTTTACTGGAAGTGATTTGTATATTGCATCATGTGTTTTCGGTCAGTTATATGTCAGATGCGGAGTTAATACAGGAATGCACGCTTGACGTATTTTTTCATGATAAAATTCATCACGAAGGCAGCAGGGGTTGCAGTACAAAAACCATGTCATTATTCAGTATGTCATACCACAGTGCAGCACTGAGATAGTGTCACAATGACACTGTTGACCCCTGCCATTACACAATTAACCAACATTGGTTGACTACTCTATGTCAAGACCATGATATAACAGCCTATAATTTATGAATGACTGGTAACAACTGATTTAACAACGCCAAAGGTCTATCACCAGCAAGTATGCTGCTGCACCACAATGGTTATATCAGGGTTTGCAAGTAATTGCATAAATAATCCAGAGCAAGAAATTGGTAGCTCAAGTTGACCATCTTTACCATAGTACTAGCAATGCTTTGACAATCTATTGATAGCAATGTTACAGATCCATTGTTATTTTTTGCATGGGACTGTATTTCCACTCACCACTAATAAAGAAAGCAACTACTGTGCACATCACAAGATATCAATGTGAGGACTGCAGCACTGCAGGCAAGGATAAGTCAACAATACGGTAATGACATCCTGAACAGTCCTTGGCAGGTTTCGGTAAGGCATTCATGACGTTATATGACAGTCTTCACAGCATATCGTGCTTTAATATTACTAATCTGCCTGAAAAGATGGCGATCGCTACTATGTCAAACAACCAACCAAACCATCTTTTACGACCAGTACCAAGACAAAAAATCCATTAACAAGTCAGTCACCAATCCGCCACCCAACACGGCGCCCGCGACGAGAACGGCCGGTTGGCGTCAGGTTTCGTGCGTTCCGAAGTATTCTTTGAGTCTGGCTGCCGGATGCTGCCAGGTATTGCTGTCGTCACTAAACCATTCCATGACACCACCAAACAATGACGTAATGGGGCGCAATTTTTCAAGCTTTGAAATTTTGCTACTTATGGTCGTTTTTAAACCTTAAAAGCTTACCAATAGTTACAAGTAAGCTTTTTCCAACAGATCTGATACTTATCTCAATATCCCCAAATGTGGAACATTCCCTTTAACGTAAAATCAGGTCTGTCAGTACCAAAATCTGTGCCATCATCAATCATCGACACTCAGGCCATGGAGCAGTGATCTGAAGTACTGAATATCGCCATTTTCAGGTTGCATCCTGCACAACACACCACACGCGAAACGAAACGAAACGGAATAGGTAACATAAAAATGGTTTCGGTGGGAGAGACGTCCGTTGAATTTCTGAGTGATTATTGCTTCGGGCGTAACAACACAAAAGTATATGTGTTGTGTAACAGCTCCGTTTTCAAGGCAACTTCGGACAAATACTGTTAAATGATCTTTGACCTGGCTTGTAATTGGTGGTATAGAGCGGTCTTCCTGGAACTACGACGGTCCACCAATGAGACGGAATTTGACATGGCAGACCTGTGAAGCCTAACTGAGGCCCAACTATGATGGTTAAAGAGGCCTCATCTGGTTTAGCTATATAGGCCCCATCTGAGCAGGCTGTATGTGTCCTAGTTGGACATACCCATGTGGGCCCCAGCTGAACATGCCCACGTGGTCTCAACTGTGTAGACCAAGTGAGCCCATGTTGCATACAGTTAGGCTCCATGTGGACCCCAGGTGGGCTGGCCATGTGATACCCACCTGGTTTCCCATGACATGCTCACATGCAACCGAAATGTGTCTTAACTGGGCAGTCCAGGTGGGCTCCATGCCGGCTCCAGTTTGGCCCTGTATGGGCCACGGGTGGGTTTCCCACAGGGAGCTAGAATCGCTTTTGAACTAGGGTGGTAGTGAAAAATTCCATCGCAAAAAGACCGTGCAGGAGTGAAAAAGATCAATTTACAAATGATGAAACTTATGAGCTCTTTGAGAACTTATGAGTTGTCTTTGTTTGCTGAAGCATCAATCATGGGGTTCTTGGGCTTGGAGGTACCTGGCGCCCTTGATCGGTGCGTACATAGACATGATTCAGATGTTGGTGAGGCAGGGCATAGCCATAGGTGTCCACGTTCTGTGGAGCCTCGTTTATGCTTGGTGGTTTCAAGTGAGCTCGGTTTTGGATGACATCTGAAAACCTCAGAAAGGGAAATAGGGGTTTGGCATGTACGATTAAACAATGTCAGGCAGGAGTGAAAAATTTACATGAAATATGGGGAAAATGAGTGAAAAATTTCTCCTCATAGGGTGTTGCTTTACACCCAAAGTCGGCAATTCTAGGACACTGGTTTCCCATGTGGGATCCAGGTGGTTGCACATGACATGCCAACATGGGCCGAAGTGGGCGACCCTGATAGGTCCCATATGTACCACGAGTGCCCGTTAGAATGGGAGCACGGTCTCATCGCTGGTGGGCACCTCTTGGTGATGGAACACACTTAAAAGTGTCTGCGCGTCCGGCAGAGGTTCAACGCGACGTCCACAGCACACTCGGCGTGCGCTGCGAACACGCCCAAGACTGCGTTGGCGCAGAACAAAAAAGCGCTGCCTATTCAGAAGGCGACAGCAGCAGCCGAGAGTCGAGTGGCTAATGGCGCGACAAGTTCAGCCTCGCCCCGATTGTCGCTCATCAAGCGGAATAGCTTATCAACGCGTGCTCATCGCTGAGACGTCATCTCAGCCATGGACAATATGACAACATGCGCGGCGAACACGCCGCCGATTTGACTGCTCTGCGTGCAAAGTTCACGCGTCAAATCACAGCGGCGACGCAACAGGCCGGCAGGTGAACAGACACAACGCTACGTTGGCACTCAACAAACGCTGGGCACTATGCGGCTTGTGCGTGGTGGGCGCCAAACGGCTGGAAGCGAGTCGTTGTCTTGCGCTTGGGTCACACACTGCTTGGTGCTGCGCAGGCCGTCGGTGAACGGCTCGCCGGTCGTAGCATGATTGTGTCCGGCATCTGTCGGCGCTGGGTGTGGACCGTTTCACGGTGCACGTGCGGCATGGCTCTGCGAAAGTGCACGGCGGCACGAGGCCAGCCGGCGACCGCTCGACGGCGTCGACCGGACGTCGCGCGCGGACGCGCGCCGAGTGCTTCCAGCGGCCGGTTCGGACACTGGCCGAGAGTAAATCGCCGCCGCCACCCAGCGCCATGGTGCGTGCTGTGATTACCCGAGAGAGAGGCTGCCGACGCGCGTTCGCAGATGAGTGCTAGCCATATTTCTGGCGCGCTCACGGGGCGCCGTGACGTCACGGCTAGACGGTCGCGCGGTACGGTGCAGTGGCTGGCGTGTGCCCAGCACTCTGCGCGTGCAGCCGGCATTCTGTATTCCGCCATGACTGAGACGTCCGCCGCACCAGCCGTCGCCCCGCCGCCAAGGCGGCCAAGGCCAAGGTGCCTCGGGCCAAGCGCGTTCATCCGCCTACCAGCGAGATGGTGCGCGGCGCCATTAAGGGCCTCAAGGAACGCGGCGGGTCGTCGCTGATCGCCATCAAACAATACATCGCCGCCAACCACAAGGTGGACGCCGAGAAGCTGGCACTTTTCATCAAGCGCGTTCTTAAGTCCGGCGTGACCAGCGTTGCGCTTGTGCAGACCAAGGGCAAGGGTGCCAGCGGCTCGTTCAAGCTGTCGGCCGCCACGAAGGACAAGGCCGCCAAGAAGCCGACCAAGCCGCCCAAAAAGAAGTCCGCCGGACCGGCCAAGGCCAAGAAGACGCCCAAAAAAGGCCGCCAAAAAGCCGGCTGATAAGAAGAAGGCCACCAAGTTACCGGCCAAGGCTAAGAAGGCCAAGCCCACCAAGGCCAAAAAAGCCAAGTCGCCGGCCAAGAAGCCCAAGGCGCCCAAGCAAAAAAAGTCGCCGGCCAAGAAGGCCGCCAAGAAATAGGCTGGTGTGCGTGCCATCACCTCCGCCCGTCGGGGTGCTGCAATGGCTCTTATCAGAGCCACGTAACTCGCTCTTACATTATCAGGTCGCAGACTGACTGTCACGCATAACCGGACTGACATGCCGTCATGGGTGAGGACTTTGGCCTGTTTCTGCCCGGATGGCAAAGAGGCCTTCAGTTTGACAGCGTCCGGCAGAGCGCGCTAATTGCTCTCACATTTGGAACAGCTCCTCGTCGTCCGTTCGTGTCACACCCAAGCTCGTACTCCACGCCATTGTCTCTGGTCCTGATAAGGACCTGTTGATGATTTCGCCCTTAGCGCTTAAGCACGCTCGCCACGAATGCGACGCGCCAGCTGGATGTCCTTGGGCATGATGGTCATCCGCTTGGCGTGGATGGCGCACAGATTCGTGTCCTCGAACAGACCGACCAGGTACGCCTCGCTGGCCTCCTGCAGAGCCATGACAGCGCTGCTCTGGAAGCGCAGGTCCGTCTTGAAGTCCTGCGCAATCTTGCGCACCAGGCGCTGGAACGGCAGCTTGCGAATGAGCAGCTTCGTGCTCTTCTGGTAGTGACGGATCTCGCGAAGAGCCACCGTGCCCGGACGGTAGCGGTGAAGCTTCTTGACGCCGGACATCTCTCTTGAACCACTGAGTTACAACAATGACGAATGAGCGTAAAAATAGATAAACTGTAACTGTCAAAGATCTACAAATACACTTCACGAGCACGCACACTAAAAGCGACCTTCGCATTTTTTTCCAGATCTGTCTCGCTCTCCTCGCGGCATCAGCCACAGCAGCTGTCAGAAGGCCCGTGGGTTTGAGTCAAGACGGCACCTACTGGCCTGAGAAGGCCCAGGTCGGTAAAGGCCTCCTGAGACTGAACCAAGACGGCACATACTGGCCTGAGAAGGCCCGGGGTGGTAAACGTCTCCTGGGACTGAGTCAAGACGGCACCTACTGGCCTGAGAAGGTCCAGGTCGGTAAAGGCCTCCTGGGACTGAACCAAGACGGCACATACTGGCCTGAGAAGGCCCGGGGTGGTAAACGTCTCCTGGGACTGAGTCAAGACGGCACCTACTGGCCTGAGAAAGCCCAGGGTGGTAAACGTCCCCTAGGACTGAGTCAGGACGGTACCTACTGGTCTGAAAATGCCCAGGATGGTAAACGTCTCCTGGGACTGAGTCAAGACGGTATCTACTGGCCTGAGAAGCCCCAGGGTGGTAAACGTCTCTTGGGACTGAGTCAGGACGGTACCTACTGGCCTGATTTTGCTGACGCTGAAGACGAAACGGACCTCCTGTCTGCCGTCATGAGCGACAACTTCAACGGACGCTCGGGGTCGTCTGACCTGTCCGGACAGGGCCGGCGACAGAGCGGGACAGAGAAGGCCCGCGAAGGACAGGGGTCAGGGTTATCCAGACGTCACCGGCGGCGTCAGGAGGGGCGGAACGGTGGCCACGGCTACGGCAGGTCCTTCAACCCGGTGGCCGGGGATGCCAGAGCACAGAAGTAGAGGTCTGATGGGCTGGTGTTGAGGGCTGAAGATTGGACCTGACCTGATCTGACCTGACGTGACCTGAGGTCAGCAGGGCGTGTCATTGCAACTCAGCGGGCTACATTTTGGTGCATGTGCTATATGTGATGTCTTTGTTGTATGGACGCGTCCTTTCGCCCTCAAGGCTGCATGAGTATTACATGCCTAATGCGCGCTCTGGGGGAGATTGGCTCGGAGTGGTATGTGGGACTGGAGGCTTGAAAAGAAACCTGGTGTACCAAGAAAACCCTTTTCATGCGGAAAAAGGCCGTTTGGATGTGAAGATCAATCTGTGCTTGACAAACTGTTTTCTATATTTCTGAAGTGCTATTTTGATGTTTTTTGCAATGTTTTACATAGCGCACATCGTCAGCATGTTCATCAGGTATTTTAAGGGATGTTCGTTGGTGACAATGTAAGTTTTATACGCGTCCGGCGCACTGAAATGGCAAAAGATAATGGATATATACAAATACAACGGTCAGCATGTAATGTCTGATTATGAACACGATAACAGCATCTAAGGATACATTTCGTCCCACCTGCACAACTTCGCAAGCTTCCATGGAGTGATGTACGTCACCCACCCTCCCTTTCTGTAGGAGATTACCATGTCCAGTTCAGGTCAAGCCGACCTTCTTAGCACTCCTGCATCCGACCGTGGATGGTTGCATGTAACTTGGGGACATTTTTGTATAGAATGCTTCTGAGTACAAGTCCGACTTTCTTAGCGTCGAATTCTGCTCATTTTGACCATTTCTATATTATGTTGTTAACAAGCCGTCTTAATGCATCGAGTGCCATTCACTTCGGTACGTTATAACAGTATTGATAGTTCATAATCATTTTATTCACGAATAATTCCGATAAATGGCTTATTCTTTGATCCGGTATAATTGTAATTGCAACACGAGTGCACTAATAAAATACGACAACAATGCTGGCACATTCGCACGTTATCAACCATCACGTCGTAAGACAACACAACGGCACCATCTAGATCGCCAAGTCTGGTGCGAAGTTCCTTGCTGGTGCGAGAGACGGTGATGGTCGGCAGCAGGCGGCTCCAGGGTGAGGCCGTATGATACGAAAAAGCCCTGCGTGGCACACCTGGATCCCCTGGATAGATGACTCCAGGTCAGGAATGTTGGTGATGCTGTGAATTGAGAGGGTCTTGGTCGGGTCCAGGTGCAGAGGGCCCTTGATGAGTTGGAGCAGACTTAGGTCGCTCAAAACAAAGCGATAACGATTCGCATCAGTGCCATCCACACGCCACAGGTCAATTATTCGTTTCACCAAGGCAGAAGATCGGTTTTCCCGGGCTCACAGCAGCACGCAGTGGGCTGTGTAAGCTATCCAGACCGTCCGACACCGGCTGATACGGTGGACGGTAGATAACGCCCACAATAACAGAGCGCTGCACGCCGCCCGAGACCGACACCCAGAGCGACTCGTCGACATCTCCTGTGCTTGTAATTGGAAGGACGTTTATGGCGCCGTTTTCCTGGCATAGGCACACCACCGCCTCGGGTTGTACCGGAGCGGTCTCGGCGCACCAGTCTGTAACCAGGAAACACCAATTTTCTATCTGTGACAGGACTTGATAGCCGAATCTCAGTGACACACATAATGCCAAGCTTTTGCTCACGAGGAGTACGAGGCACCGCGTGAATCGATCTTAGGCACCAGTGAAGGACATTCGAGTGACCGATGACCAGTTCATGAACCGGCCCACTAGAGCTGGTAGTCTGACCGCTGTTGGCAAGGTGACGGATCCGATGAAAGGCGAGCAGAACCGGTCGTGCAACGCAGCGTGGAGCATGTGGTGCTGCTGATACTAAAGGCGATGCATTCACCATCGTGGAATCGGTTGCTTGCTGGCTTAGACATGCTTTGAGGCTCGAGGATGTTCGTTGGCTACGGTCGCTGCCGTGCGGTAAGCGGAATCGGTTTGGTCTAGTTACGTTTTTCGATTAGTCTGCGTAACAGTATGACAGAGTACACGAATGTAGTTAGAAATGTAGGAATGGCAGTTACGAAAAAGAAACATTACTTAACAACCACTTCGCCGTTCAATCCACGCCAAACAATGCAGACTTCCAAGCGCTGCAACCGACCAACACCATCAATGCACCGCTGGTACCCACCTTAGGAAACGTCACCATTTCGGGACAAGAAGTCCTACAAATCATTAACTCCCTGGATCCAAACAAATCCACGGGCCTCGACGGAATTCATGTCAAATTGCTGACGCTAATTGCACTTCTCACCTCCAAACCATTAGCACAGTTGTTTAATAAATCATTAACGTCAGAAATATTTCTCAGTAAGTTGAAAGAGAAAGACATCAAAGCTATACTTAAAAGCAATGGCTCACCATCCGATTATTCCTGCTATTGGCCAATAGACATCATTTTGGCACCTTCAAAAGTTTACGAAAAATAGTCTGTAAAAATATATTCGATCATTTCACCGGCATTCCCCTTTCTCAGACAACAATCGGACAAGGCTCCCTTTTTTGACGCACAGTATATACAAGTCGCTTGACACAGGACGCGACTTTACGTCAATCTATTCCGACATTTCTAAATACTTTGACAACATATGGAGTAATGGTCTATTGCACAAGTGCAAATATAGCTTTGCAATCACTGGACGACTTTTAGACTGGCTTAGGCCATACTACCAAGACAGACGACGGAGAGTACGAACACGTGTCAGTTTTCAAGACCGAAACCATAAACGCAGGCTGCCTGCGGGGCTCCGTACTAGGGCCTCTACTAGCACCCATTCTCCTCGACGGACTCTTCAGTCGGACACAGAATGATGTTCTTTTCTTCGCTGACGACACCTCTTTCTATACCTCTCACACACCAGGACTGATTTACGCACGACCGACACGACCTTGACGAAATACACAAATATGGTCGACAAGGGGCCATCACATTTAATGTAACAAAAACAATCGAACAGACATTCTCATATAAGCAGGAGCATCAGTCACCAGCGCTTACATTCGACCCCCCCCCCCCCCCCCCCCCCACACACACACCTTGACATGACGTTTTCCAAAGATCTCCGTTTGCACCAACACATCACCAAAACATGCCGCAAAATATTCAAACCACGCAGCCCCCTGTATCCGATAATACAGCACACACCAAGGCCCATTCTCGTACAAATGTACCAAGTGTACGTCAAACCTCTTTTTGAGTACTGCAACGCCATCTGCGACGGACACATCACAGTACAGGATGCAATCAGACTTGAAACACTACTAAACAGACTGCGAGACTGGTGACCGGGGCACTCTTCAGAACGCCATCCGACAAACCACGAACTGAGTTAGGATGGCATGGACTGACAACGAGGCGACATATGCACGGACTGACGCACTATCACAAACTAAACGGTCCTGTAGATTTTCTGCAACGTACACCGGCTGCATCACAGCGATCATGCCCGATACCAGCGCAAAAGACGCTAACAGAGATCTTAGAAATGCAAGCACGCACACTGCAAACCACCAGTCGCACACCATTGTACCACAAATCATTTTCCCTACAGCAAGCAAGCAATGGAATAAACCGCACGACACCACATGACACCTCACCCACTCCGCTTTCAAAACAGCTTTGCGAGTAGTTGGGATCGCCCGATGCACTCCATTGCTGCAAAGTGTGATGAAAAATAAAGGGAATATTTTGCATGCCATGCTGAGAATGGACATGTTTCGCTTGAATTCTCATTTACTTCTTGTTCAAAAAGCCTCGCCGGTGTGCCAGTGTGGACACCACTATGAAGCCATTCGTGATTTCGCCCTCTTGCTCCAAAAATACATGGAGCAAAGGAACGATCTGTTTGACAGCATGTCGCAAACGTTACATATCCATTTTAGACACACGTTACCTTACCATCAGCTATAAGCTCTATTGCATGGCGCAGATCTCAGCGGAGGGAACGGCTTGGTGATGCCTTACCTTTTCCAAAATTGGCGGGAACGGCTTGGTGATGCCATAACATTTCCAAAATTGGCGGGGACGGCTTGATGATGCCTTACCATTTCCAAAATTGTGTGCTCAAATCGTGACGATTTATTGACATTGAATATTGTTAGTATTCCCCTCACTTCACCATATGACCGCGGCATTCCCGGTGAGGCTTTTTTTGGCTGACCATCCAGCCGAATGAAAGAGCTGAGCTAGCTGTGCCGTGGCGGCGGTTGCGGCGAAGCATTTCTGTTTGTTTGTTTCAGACAAGGTGCTTCGATTTAAGCTCTTGCTTTTTGGTCTTTCTGATTTACGTTGGCTTTCTACTGCATGTCTTCTTTAATAAACATGACGATGATGATGACAATGACCACACACATTGATAATACATTTTCTTCCAAAGAGGGACCCCTTATAATTCCGTGACGTTATTAAATCTGAAGAGGTGCCGGACTACATTGCATTCACTGATTGAGCGTAGACGCAGGGTACTTAATCCCTGAAGTCAAAATCTTCTTGACGTAAGTCAACGCATAAAATCAGTGAGCCTCCTGCCCTTACTTATCATATCCAGCTTTTGTTGGGCGACGCTTTGGTCACCGTTCTCGGACAGATAGCCTACGGTAGATCAGTCACACTTCCACCCATCACACCGGCCCTCCGACCGATCAGCGGTGTACGTTATCTGCGTCTTCCGGTCAGTGACGGAAGTACGTCTGGGTCAAGGGCCAATGAGCCACTTCGGTCTGACTTCTGAACCGCGTGCGTAACCGATGAACACGGGCGCAGTCAATAGCGGCCACTGGGGGGGGGGGGGGGGGGGGGGGGGGGCGGTCATAACAAATTGCATACTGTTTGAAAAGGCACCACTTGATTGAGGCCTTTACATATCAGGTGTCAAACAGATCACCTTCTGATAGATCCTTGGATATTGGATAAAGTTACGGCTGAATACGCTTGGATGTCAACATTAATCGCGTTACTCCCACCCAAACACCTGCTTGACTATGCTCTGCCGAGCGGCGAAACATGGCGGCTGATATCAGCTGACGCAAGCGCTGATAATCTGAAGATGATCACAGTTCACGATAGGACAGTCGGTATAAAGCGCGTGGCACCGGCCGGCAGAGCATGAGTGAAGCGGCAGCATTGGACATTGTGTACCGGTCTACAGAGAGAAAGTCATCATGAAGATCCAGGTCAGTTATCTGGCTGGCATAAACGAGGGCGACGAAAAGCCGTTGGACTGATGCTTTGTACCGTGACTGCGTGGCAAACGTTTAAGTGGTGCAACTTTCGGAGCTTTTCTAATCTTGTCAGTGCCGTGTTTGCATCTGAACGCGCAAAGTCAGTAAGGGGATATGGCCACGCCACGTCACAACACCGCTAACTTGGCTGGTGTTGTAACTGAACAGTAAAAATGAGTTTTGCCGACTCTGTAGCCTGAAACATAATCACCGAATTACACAACTTCACATAGCTTGCAATGACTCGTTGTCGTAAGGGTGGTCTAGATGTTAAGACACTGGAAAGAAATCCAAATTTCGATACCTGTCTGGATTTCCCCCCTGAACAATGGAATTACAGCAATAACCAACGAGTGCCAGATTACACGAGCCGCACTATAAAAGGTATACAAATACACTTAACAGGCACGCACACCGATAGTGACCTGCGCATTTGTGTTGCAGATCTGTCTCACTCTCCTCGTGGCATCAGCCACAGCGGCCGTCAGAAGACCCGTGGGACTGAGCCAAGACGGTACCTACTGGCCTGAGAAGGCCCAGGGTGGTAAACGTCTCCTGGGACTGAGTCAGGACGGCACCTACTGGCCTGAGAAGGCCCAGGGTGGTAAACGTCTCCTGGGACTCAGCCAAGACGGCACTTACTGGCCTGAGAAGGCCCAGGGTGGTAAACGTCTCCTGGGACTCAGCCAAGACGGCACTTACTGGCCTGAGAAGGCCCAGGGTGGTAAACGTCTCCTGGGACTCAGCCAAGACGGCACTTACTGGCCTGAGAAGGCCCAGGGTGGTAAACGTCTCCTGGGTCTGAGTCGAGACGGTACCTACTGGCCTGAGAAGGCCCAGAAGGCCCAGGGTGGTAAACGCCTCCCGGGTCTGAGTCAAGACGGCACCTACTGGCCTGAGAAGGTCCACGATGGTAAACTTCTCCTGGGTCTGAGTCAGGACGGTACCTACTGGCCTGATTTCGTTGACGCTGAAGAGGAAACGGACCCCCTGTCTGCCGTTATCAGCGACAACTTCAACGGACACTTGGGGTCGTCTGACCTGTCCGGACAGGGCCGGCGCCAGAGCGGGACAGAGACGGCCCGCGGAGGACAGGGGTCAGGGTCATCCAGACGTCACCGACAGCGTCAGGAGGGCCGGAACGGTGGCCACGGCTACGGCAGGTCCTTCAACCCGGCAGCCGAAGATGCCAAGACCCGGGAGTAGAAGATCTGATGGGCTGGTGTTGAGCGCAGAAGATCTGGCCCGACCTAATCTGACCTGACCTGATCTGACCTGAGGTGATCTGAGGTCAGCAGGGCGTACCAACGCAGCTCAATGGGCTACACTTCGGCGCAGATGTTGTACATGATGTATATGCTGTGTGTATATTATATATCGTGTCGTATATGACGTGTCCTTTCACCTTCAAGGTTACATGAGTCCTACATGCCTGATGCGCGCTCTGGGGGAGATTGGCTCGGAGTGGTATGTGGGACTGGAGGCTTGAAAAGAAACCTGGTGTACCAAGAAAACCCTTTTCATGCGGAAAAAGGCCGTTTGGATGTGAAGATCAATCTGTGCTTGACAAACTGTTTTCTATATTTCTGAAGTGCTATTTTCATGCTTTTTTGCAATGTTTTACAAAGCGCACACCATCAGCATGTTCATCAGGTATTTTAAGGGATGTTCGTTGATGACAATGAAAGTTTTACACGCATGCGGCTCAATGACATGGCAAAAGATAATGGATATATACAAATACAACAGTCAGCTCTTAATGTCTGAAAATGAACACGATACCAGCAATTAGCGATGAATTTTGTCCCATCTGCACAACTTTCTAGGCTTCCACGGGGTGAAATACGCCATCCACCCTCACTTTCTATAGGAAATTACGATGATCAGTTCTGGGCAGACCGACCTTCTTAGCACTCTTGCGTCCGACCAGGGATGGTTGCATGTAACTTGGGAATATTTCTGTATAGAACGTTTCTGAGCACAAGTCCAACTTTCCCAGCATCGAATTCTGGGAATTGTGAGCCCACGCCGTGGTAATGCATCGAGTGGCACTGATTTCCGTACGTTATAATATTATAGATAGTTTGTACTCACTTTTTCGCGAAAAATTCCAACAGGTGGCTTAGTCTTTGATTCGGTTCAATTATGATGGCAGCATGAGTGCAATAGTAAAATACAACAATGCTGACATATTCGTACGTCACGAAACATCTCGTCGTAAGATAATACAACCGCACCATCCACATCGCCAAGTCTGGTGCAAAGCTCCTTGCTGGTCCGAGAGACGGTGATGGTCGGCAGCAGGCGGCTCCAGGGTGAGGCCGTATGATACGAAAAAGTCCTGCGCGCCACATCTGGATCACCTGGATAGATGACCCCAGGTCAGGAACGTTAATGATAATGTGAGCTAAGAGAGTCCCGATCGGGTCCAGGTGCAGAGGGTTCTTGGCGAGTTTGAGCAGACTGATGTCGCTCAAAACAGAGCTATAACGACCCGCACCAGTACCATCCGCACGTAACAGGTCAATATTTATGTCATCCAGGCAGAAGATCGGTTTTCTCGGGCTCACAGCAACACGTAGTTGGCTATATAAGCTATCCAGACCGTCCGACACCGGCTGAGACCGTGTACGGTAGATAACGCCCACACTTACAGAGCGATGTCCACCGCCCGACATCAACATCCAGAGCGACTCGTGGGCACCTCCTGTGCTTGTGATTGGGAGAACGTGCATGGCGAGGTTTTGCTGACATGGGGACACCACCGCATGGGGTTGTACCGGGGTGGTCTCTGCTCACCAGTTTGTAGCCAGGGAGCACCAGTTTTCTATCCGTGACAGAACTTGACGGCTACATCTCAGTGACACATATAATGTCAAGATTTTGCTCACGAAGAGTACGAAGCACTGGGTGAATCTATCTTAGGTACGAGTGATAGGACATTCGAGTAACCGATGAACAGCTTACGTACCGACTCACTGGAGTTGGCAGTTTGACTGCTGGTGATAAGGTGACGGGTCCGATAAAGGGCAAGCCAAACCGGTCGTGAAAGGCAGCGTGGAGTATGGCCTGTTGGTGCTGAAGGCGATGCATTCACCGTCGTGGGATCAGTTGCTTGCTGGCTTAGACATGCTCTGACGTCCGGCGATGTTCGTTGGCTACGGTTGTTGCCGTGCGATGACCGGAATCGGTTTGGTCTAGTTACGCTTTTCATTTAGTCTGTGTAGCTGTTCGACTGAGTACACAAGAGTAGTTAGAAATGTATGACTGGACGACTACGAACAGGCAACATTACTTGACAACCACTTCTCCGTACAAACCACGCCAAACATTAAAAGCTCCCTCCGAATACAACCATCAATGCACAGCCTGTGCGCACCAAGCTGATAGCACTTCTCATGTTCAAACCACAAACACAGCTGTTTGATAAATCATTAACGTCAGGAACATTTACTAATAAGTTAAAAGAGCACACATTAAACCAGTGTTTAAAAACAAAAGCTCGCCATCGGACTTTTCCTGCCGACGACCAACTAGCATTCTTTCGGCGCTCTCAAATGTTTTCGAAAAAAGAGTCTATAAAATACATGCAATCATTTCACCGAGCATTCTCGTCAAAGTGGGTACCTGCAGAGCGACAGCACTCAACAGCAGCTGTGATACTCGACGCACAATCTATACAAATGGCCTGACACAGGGTGTGACTCTACAGGAATCTATCTCAACACTTCTCAATACTTTGACGAGACGGGTCATGAAAGTCTATTGTACAAGAGAAAAAATGACTGGAATCACAGGACGACGTTTAGACTAACTTCAGTTACGCTTACAAGACAGACGACAGTGAATACGCATACGTGACACTTTTCGACGACTCAAACCATAAACGCAGGCTGCCCGCAGGGCTGCGTAACAACAAAACATGCCACAAAATAATTCACACGCTGAGCCCTCTGTATCCGATGGCACAGCGCACGCCTAAGCGCGCCCATTCTCGACCAAATCTACAAAGTGTGCATCACCGTTTTTTTACTACCACGACGCTATCTACAACGGACACATCGCCGTGCCAACAGTACAAAGGGAAAAGAAGCGATCTGTTTGACAGCATATCTCAAAAGTCACACATCGATTTTAAACACAAGTTACCTGATTACCAGCTACAAAGCCCACTACATGGCGCAGATCTCAGCGAAGGCGACGGTTTAGTGGTGGTTCACCGCTCATGAAATTTTATGCGCAGCTCTGGACGGTTTATCAACGTGCAGTGATGTCAGTAATCCCCTCGCCTTACAATATGACTCTCGTATCCCCGGTGAGGCGTGGGTAACCGGCCATCCAGCCGAATTTAACAGCTGAGCCAGCGGTATCATGGAGGTCACAGTTTAGCATTTCTTTTGTTTTTTGCAGGCAGTGCTTCGAGTTGAGCCATTGCTTTCACGCCTTTTTGACTGATGTTTGCTTCCTATTGCATGCCTTGTTTAATAAGCATGATGATGGTGATGATGATGAGGGCCACCTACATTAATATTACATGTTCTTCCACAGGAGAACCTCTAACAACTTCGTCATGTTTTCAACAATGAAGAGATACCGGACTGCGCTGCATTTACTAATTTAGCGCAGACGTCAAATACCTAATCCCTGAAGACCAAATCATCTTGATGTCGTAAGGCAACAAATAAAATCAAGGAGCCTCTTGCCCTTACTAATCGCATCCGGTACTTATGCACCAGTGGGCGGTGCTGTGCTCACCGTTCTCGGACAGATAGCATGCAGCAGATGAGTCACACTTCCACCCATCAGCACCGGTCCTCCGACCGATTAGTGGCGTTCTATCTGTGGCGTTCGGTCAATGACGGAAGTACAAGTGCCAACGCGCCGCTACGGCCTGACTTCCGGACCTCGTGCGCAACGGTGAACACGGGCGCAGTCAGGAGCGGTCACAGGGGGTCATAACAAATTGCATGCTGTTTGAAAAGGCACCCCTTGATTGGGGCTTTTACATATCAGGTGTCAAACAGATTACCTTCAGATAGATCATCGGATATTGGATAAAGTTACGGCTGAATATGCTCGGATATTAACATTAATCGCGTTACTCCCACCCAAACACCTGCCTGACTATGCTCTGCCGAGCGGCGCGAAACAGGGCGGATGATATCAGCTGACGCAAGCGCTGATAATCTGATGATGATCACAGTT